ATGAGGTTTCTGACTGTCAGACATCACCAGTTCCTCCTTTGCAGGATTGTTCAGGTCAGATGACCAAGCTTCAGGAAGCAAGTGCTCCTATGGTGCTACTTCCTACGCGTTCAGAAAGTAGGTCAGTTACCACCTCTGTCTGCAACTTAGCCACCTTGTTACCCTTTTTAAGCTTTCCCTCTAGCTTCTGCATATGTGGTCAGGCAGGGCTCCTTAACTCCTCCACAGTGAAGTTTCTATACCCTATCATAGGACCCCATCAAATCAGGCTGCCTAAGTAGGCCAAATTTTCTGTTTATAGCGTCTGGAGGAAAAAGCGTACTAGTCACCAGTATGTAGTAGTACGCAACTCTTTCTAAGCACGTGCATTCTTTCTTGAGATGAAGGCATTATAGAGAAAAATAATAAAAACAAAAAGAAAATACATAGAATTATAGAATACTGGAACTGGAAGGGACCATAAGAGGTCATTGAGTCCATTCCCCTGCCCTCACGGCAGGACCAAGCACCATTTATACCATCCCTAATAGATGTTTACCTGACCTGCACTTACATATCTCCAGAAATAGCAATTTATTCCAGTGTTTAACCACCCTGACAGTTAGGAAGTTTTTTCTAATGTCCAGCCCAGCCTAAACCTCCTTTGCTGCAGTTTAAGCCCATTGCTGCTTGTCCTGTCCTCAGAGGCCAAAGAGAACAATTCGTCTCCCTCCTCTTTGTGACACCTTTTTAGATACTTGAAAACAGCTATTATGTCCCCTCTGTCTTCTCTTTTCCAAACCAAACAAGCCCAGTTCTTTCAATCTTCCCTCATAGCTCATGATTTCTAGACCTTTAATCATTCTTATTGCTCTTCTCTGGACCCTCCCCAATTTCTTCACATCTTTCTTGAAATGTGGTGTCCAGCACTGGGCACAATACTCCAAAGGAGGCCTAATCAGCGTGGAGTAGAGTGGAAGAATGACTTCTCATGTCCTGCTCACAACACTCCTGTTAATGCATCCCAGAATCATGTGTGGTGGTGGTGCTGGTGTTTGTGGGTGTTTTTTTTTCCCAATAGCATCACACTGAGTCCTATTTAGCTTGTGGTCCACTATGACCCCCCTACATTCCTTTCTGCAGTACTCCTTCCTAGACAGTTGCTTCTCATTCTGTATGTGTGAAACTGATTGTTCCTTCCTAAGTGGAGTACTCTGCATTTGTCCTTACTAAACTTCATCCTATTTTCCTTAGACCATTTTTCCAGTTTGTCCAGATCATTTTGAATTATGATCCTGTCCTCCAAAGCACTTACAATCCTTCCCAGCTTGGTATCATCTGTGAACTTAAGTGTACTTTGTATGTGAATATCTAAATTGTTGATGAAGATATCAACAGAACCAGTCCCAAAGCAGACCCCTGCAGAACACCACTTGTTATGCCCTCCCAGTATGATTGTGAATCATTGGTAACTACTGTCTGAGAACAGTTATCCAGCCAGTTATGCACCCACCTTATAGTAGCCCCATCTACGTTGTATTTGATTAGTTTATTTGTAAGAAGATCATGCGAGACCGTATCAAATGCCTTACTAAAGTCTAGGTATATCACTTGCATTGCTTCTTCCTTATCCACAAGACTTGTTTTCCTATCAAAGAAAGCTATCAGATTAGTTTTACATGATTTGTTCTTTACAGATCTATGCTGGCTGCTACCTATTACCGTATTTTCTTCCAGATGTTTGCAGATGAATTCCTTAATTACCTGCTCCATTATCTTCCCTGGCACAGAAGTTAAATTGATTTGTCTGTAGTTTCCTGGGTTGTGCTTATTTCCCTTTTTATAAATGGGCACTATATTTGCCCTTTTCCTGTCTTCTGGAATCTCTCCTGTCGTCAGTGATTTTTTTCAAAGATGACAGCTAAAGGCTCAGATACCTCCTCTGTCAGCTCCTTGAGTATTCTAGGATGCATTTCATCCAGCCCTGGTGACTTGCAGACGTCTAACTTTTCTAAGTAATTTTAACTTGTTCTTTTTTTAAATTTTATCTAAAACAACCTTCCCACTACCATTCACTATGTTAGGCATTCCTTCATCATCAGACTTCTTGGTGAAGACCGAAACATAGAAGTCATTAAGCACCTCTGCCATTTCCAAGTTTCCTGTTACTGTTTCTCTTCTTCACTGAGCAGTGGGCCTAGCCTGTCCTTGGTCTTCCTCCTGCTTCTAATATATTTATAGAATGTCTTGTTACCCTTTATGTCTGTAGCTAGTTTGAGCTTGTTTTGTACCTTTGCCTTTCTAATCTTGCCCCTGCATATCTGTATTGTTTCTTATATTCATCCTTTGTAATTTGACCTAGTTTCTACTTTTTATGAGGCTCTTTTTTTTTGTTTGTTTGTTTGTTTTTAATTTTTAGATCATGCAAGATTTCCTGGTTAAGCCAAGGCGGTCTTTTGCCATGCTTTCTATCTTTCTTATGCAGTAGAATAGTTTGCTTTTGTGCCCTTAATAATGTCCCTTTGAAAAACTGCCAACTCTGTTCAGTTGTTTTTCCTCTTAAGGTGTGCTTAGACTACAGGGATTTTTCGAAAAAAGTGGCCTTTTTTCAAAAAACGTTCGCCTTGTCTAGACCGCCGTTGGGTCCTTTCAAAATTAAATTGAAAGAACTCGGTGGGTTTTTTGACAGCGGTTAACTTCATTTTATGAGGAAGAACACCTTTTTTGAAAGAGAACTTTTGAAAAAAAGCTTGTGTGGATGCAGGGAAGCTTTCCCCCCCAAAAAAAGGGGGCCTCCAGGGAAAAGCTCTGGTGGACACTCCTTGCCAGACCTTTCACTTCTTCTATTGTTTCTGTCTATAGCTATCTCTTAAAGGCACAGGCAGCCAGGAGAAGCATTGTGGCAGGAAGCCAGCTCCAAGCAGGACCCTGACTGCTTAGCTCTTCCTGATAGGCCCACTCAGAGCCATGTCACAGGCACAAGCCCCCTGAGACCTCCCTGGCCCTTCCAGGGACACATCCCAGGCACCAAACACCAGGCACCGTCATGGTCTGGCCCCAAGATCAAAACCCTCTTGGAGCTCTGGTCCAAGGAGGAGTCTCTGTAGGTCCTGCAGTCCAGGAGGAGAAACGCGGACACTTATGCCCGAATGGCTGATTGCCTTGCTAAAGAAGCCACCACTCCTGCATACTAGACGAAGTGAGAACAAAGGTCAAGGAGCTGCGGCAAGGAGCTGCGGCAGGGGTATGTCAGGGTCCGTGAGCGTAGCTCTCGCTCTGGGGAAGCACCACAGTACTCTGCATATTATGAGGACCTGGACCAGATCCTGGTGCGGGGGGAGCCCCTGATTCTAGAGAAGGTAGTGGAGTCTGGGATGGAGAGGCCTGTGCAACAGTGACTGCAGCTCCAAGATGACATCCATGAAGACCAGCAGCTCCAGGACGAGGAGGATTATTCCAGGAGGCCTCCCAGACGTCTTTAGACACTGGAGAGGGGAGGGAACCTCAGGTGAGTGCTGTGAGATTGCAACGCACACAGAGCAGGGGAGGCGGGAGCAAAGGGGACGGAGTGCTATTGTGACGCATCATGCTGATCACACCACTCCTTCCCCCACATGGATGCGAGGCATCACCTTCTCCTGCAGACAGTGCTGCCAGGTGCAGGCATGGACTGGGGGCCCTGGGAGGGCCAGGCATCTCCAGGCCTCTCTGTAACCTGTGGGAACCCAACTGTGGCCCGACACTTCTCTGTGCTGCTTGGCCATGGTGGGGGGAGGCAGGATGGTGGCCTATACACCTCTGGACTCCAGTGAGGCTGTGGCTGCTGGCCAGGCCACATCAGGCCTTGCTGAGAGAACATCAGCATTGCCTGACCCTAGAACACTGCTGTGAAGGAGAGCATGCCCTCAGGGACAGCATGACCATGCATGATTGACTGCTTTTCCCTCTTGTCCTCCACAGCTAGGCCAGCCATCCAGGAGGGGCGAGCCACACCTGTCCCGCCACCCAGATGTCTGCATGGAAGCCAGTGGCACTGGCGCACATATCTGGAACTTACACGCCAGAACATCACGGTCCTCCAAAGGATGCAGGACACCTTGTCCGAAAGGATGGAGTCAGAGGCAGAGTGGTGCAATCGCGTGCTGGACAAGTTCATCCAGCAGCACACACTATTTGTGCTGCTATCGGGGAGGTGATGCCTTTCTCAGATCCTGTCCCTGTTGCTGCTCCTCCTGCTCAACCTGGTCTCCCCCTGTCGCCCTCCACTCACTGCCCTCCCTCACCTCCTGCCATCCCAGACCCAGGTGCAGCCCCACCACCTGCCCAGCCCCTTATTGTCCCAGTTCATATGCAAGGCCGTTTCCAAAGAGTCTCCCGTTCCCGAGGTGGCAGGAGCTATTCATCCAGGTGGCACCCTCAGCCCTGAGCCACCCTTCCCCCCTCCACCTTCCAGGTTTACAACCCACCTTCCCACCAGTGCGGGAAACACTTTATTTTTTTACATTATTTTTCATAACGAGAGAGTGATACTGTTTGCTACGTTGAACTTTGCATTAAACTGTTAGCATTTTGAAAATCACACCTGTGTCTCTGTGTGTATGTCCACAAAGTGGGGCAGGGATGGGTTGGAGGGGAAGGTACTGGGGGCAAGGAGCGAGCTCCCATTTGGAAGGCCCTGGGGAAAGTAATTGGTCTCCTTGGGAGAATGTCTCCCTGAGGGCCTCCCGAATGCGCAATCCTGACTGGTTGGCCTGGCAGATGGCAGCTGTCCAGGGCTGCTCCAACTGCCTCCCCTCCACATCACCCTGTGTCCCTCACTGTGGGAGGAAGGCCTCCCCTTTCCTCTTCACCAGGTTGTGCAGCACACAACAGGCAGCAACCACCTCGGGGATATTGCGTTCCCCCATGTCCAGGCAAGTGAGCAGGTACCTAAACCTCCCCTTCAGACGCCTGAAGGCGCATTCCACCTGCAAGCAAGCCCGGTTCAGGTGGGAGTTAAATATTTCCCTGCTCGCGTCCAGGTGGCCAGTGTATGGCTTCATGAGCCAGGGCATAAGGGAGTAGGCCACGTTGGCCACAATTCACATAGGCATCTGCACATCCCCGGCTGCAAAGTTTCTCTGTGGAAAAAATGTCCCTGCCTGCAGCCTGTGGTACAGGTACAAGTTCTGAAAGATGCAGGCATAACGTGCCCTGCCTGACCACCCGACACAAATGTCCGTGAACTGTCCCTGGTGGTCGACCAGGGCCTGCAGCACCATGGAGAAGTATCCCTTCCTGTTAATGTACTGAGCTGCTTGATGGGGCAGTGCACGGAATGGGATGCGAGTCCCATCGAGTGCTCCACCGCAGTTTGGGAATCCTAACCCCACAAATCCGACCGCAATGGTGTCCGGGTCTCTGAGGTGGACAGTCCTGTGCAGCAGCTCCGAATTGATGGCCGTCATTACCTGCAGAAAGGGACAATGAGAAACACACATAACAGAAAATTAGAGGGGGTGGCTGAGCTGTTGAGGTGCTCCCTCACCCCTCCCCTCCAAGACCCCAGGAACTCTGCTCCCCCCCCTCCCCCCCGGC